GGATGGGCAGGTAGATAGATGTGAGAATTATAGACTATTTGGCTTAGATCAATAGTTTTGTTCTCTGGCTTTCTGGAAAAACTCTTGAGAGTTTTAAATGTTCTCAAAATCCCTAAGGACCTGAGTCACCAGGGCAAAGATCTAAATAAAATAATATCAACACACACATTTTATCAACTGAAGGGCTAAGGGCCAGTGTGTCCCCACCCCCCACCCCTGCACGCCGGCCTCCTAACATTCTCCGTGGCTGTGTCTCTGCTTTCTTCCTCTCTCCCACAGTCGAGGCTGTCTGGTGAGGGCTGGGAGGGACCCAACGGCCACCAACCCGGAATCCCTGGTGTGAACAGTGGTCTTCTGGCCCCAAGAGCGACCCCATCCGGCGCCAGGGGCAGGTGCTGGTGGAGAAGTGGTCATGTCTTCTTCTGAGTTATGCCATTCACTTTTTTTTTTTGAGGTTTTCTACACTTTAAAAAAAATTTTTTTTAATTTTAAAGATGTGGGGTACAATTTGGGTTTAGGTATGTAAGTGGTCATTATACAGGTAAAGCTTGGGCTTCCCTTTGGACCCCACTTTGCCTGGTTTGAGATCGGGTACTCTTATTGATGTTGTGTCATCCCCCACCCCATCACCATGACCCCAGCAGTATCCCACTACTGCCAATCCCTGCCGTTCACGTTAATGACGTGGTTCTCCTTTCATGTAGTGCTTCTCTGATGCCAGATTTCCTTCCACTGGAAGCCTTGCAACACTGTGGTCCTTTCGGTCCCATCCCAGAACACCCCAGGCCCGCCCTCTCCATGGCTTGATTCTAACTTAGGACCATCCAGACTGCCAAGTCCCACTTGATGATTTGAGCCAGGCAGAAACTCACCTGCCCCTGAGATTAGACAGAAACAGGTCACCCTCTGGCTCCCTGTTCAAAAGGGTGGGCCATGGCAGACTCTCTGTGGGCACTCTGTTGTCACAGTTGACAGACACTCCAGAGCTTCAGCTGGAGCATAGGTGATTCCTATGGATGTCCCTCAAAGCCCATCAGCTAGAGCCCAGGCTCAAAAGGAACTCCTGGAAAAACTGAAAATCCACTTCCAGCTGACAGAAATGTTAGACCTGGAAAACTTAATGTCGAGTAAGAGGTAGAGGGGTCAAGACAGAGTTGCATTAATTATCTAACTAATTTAATTAGAATCAGAGTCTCGCTCTGTCACCCAGACTGGAGTGCAGTGGCATAATCACGGCTCACTGCAGCCTTGACCTCCTGGGCTCAGGCGATCCTTCCATCTCAACCTCCCAAGCAGCTGGGACTACAGGTATGCACCACCATGTCCAGCTAGTTTTTAAATTTTTTTTGTAGAGACAGGATCTTGCTATGTTGCCCAGATTGGTCTCAAACTCCTGGCCTCAAGTGAGCCTCCTGCCTCAGCTTCCCAAAATTGCTGGGATTACAGGCATGAGCCACCACACCCAATGTCAGGACAGATTTTAATGTGGAAAGAAGGGAGCTGGCGTTTGGAATGTGGCATTTAGGGGTACCATGGAGCGCCTGGGAGTGTTGCTCTCACCTCTTGAACCTACTGTGCTCATTGTCAGGCATCGGGAATCTCCACGGCAAGAGCATGTTGTGCTGAGGCTGCTGTGCTCTTCTGTCCTGGGAAAGCAATGGGGCTCTTCTCCCTGGGGATAAAAAGCTCTCCCAGGTGCCACCTCTGCTGATGAGGTAGGTTTCTCAGCTTGGGATCTGGGAACTGCAGTGCAGTGTGGAGGGAGCAGTGCTGGCCCAGGCGTTCCTCCATGGGAGTTTTTTGGGTTTTTTTAATTGTAGAGATGAGGTCTCGCCAAGGTGCCTGGGCTGGTCTTGAACCCATGGGCTCAGGCAGTCCTCTCGCCTTGGCCTCCCAAAGTGCTGGGATTATAGGCGTGAGCCACTGCACCCTGCCTCCATGGAAGTCTAAACCCAGCAGCTTGGCTGGGTGAGTCGGTGAGCGCTCCTTTTAGCCCTGTCCTCTTTTTGCGAATGCCCTGGAATTTCCATTTGAGAGTAAAGACAATTTCTCAGAGAGGACGTTGGCTGGAGATGGAAGTTTAGGTCATTGATCTGTTGGCTGTTAGAACCCTCCAGGGTCCTGAGTGCCTCCTGGCCTCTTGCCAGGGAAGCAGCTGGCCCTGCTACAGATACTCCCCCTGTTTTGTGTTTCTGTAACTTACCTCTTTCCCCCTTGCTTATGAGTGTTTACAAACATGATACAAGTACGTCAGGAAGAAGGTATTGGTTACCTGTAATCCCCTCCACTTCTCCAGATAACCGTACCTAAAGTTGGAAGTAACAGACTCTAAGAAACCCGATAATGTGTGAGAACAAGAAAGGGACCAATGCACGCTGGAAATCCACAGATATCTCCAAACTTGACTTTCAAGAGCAGTCAAGCTTCCCATTCACATTTTTATCCCAAATTCTTTGTTTCTGGTGTTCACAGACTGCTGAGGCACAAGCGTCCACACCTGCTGAAAACAGGGGGTGTAATAATACCACAGAAACCCTTACGTTTAATTTATTTGGCACCTGCTGACCCATTTCCTCAGTCAGTGTCATAGCAGATTAGCAGGATGGCTCATGGTGCCTGCGTCATACACGAGGGAAATGGAGTTTAGAGAAGTAACTTGCCCAAGGTTGCAGAGCTGGGATTCGAACCATTTCCTTGCTCTTTCCATTTCTCTGAGCCGTTTCCAGCTCCATGATGTTGGTCTTGAAATGATGACAGAGAACATGTCCCCATGGGTCAGTCTGTGGGCCAACCCTCCATAAACAAATATCTGTTGAGTGGCTGTTACATGCTAAACACTCTTCTAGTCACTAGGAATCAGCAGTGAACAAATCCCACCAAGCCCGTGCCCCCATAGGACTGACATCCTAGAAGAAGAAGCAGACACCCAACAACTCGCAGTGGGATGGGTGTGCTCCCCCAGTCCTCCCTCATGTCCGATAATAACTGTTATGTTCTTGTAACCCATGAGGTTTCTGCCACACTTCGCAGCTCTGTGTTTACACTTTCAGCCTGTAAAGTATTCAACTGTATTGCACAGGCCTTGGGACAAAGGCAAGATTCCCCCCAGGGTTGCCTGACCTGACATTGTGATTTAGACAGTGACTCGGCAAGCATTTTCCTTGGCCACACTTGGGCTGCCTGGGCGAAGCACCATGAGATCACGCTGTAGGTACATCAGAGGAAAGGGGAAGTGAAAGATGACACAGAACCAGCAAGGGCTCTCGTGCTTTAAAAGCCTGGCTAAAATGAGGTTGTGAAAAACTCCCTTCTCCTCCCACCAGTGCCACACACAGAACCGAGCGTGGAGGGCTCAGAAAGCAGAGTGTGGGGTTTCTTCCAGCTCCTTCCATCCAGCAGTAGAGGACTAGAGTCAAATCAGCTGACTTCCACGTCTCGCGTTTGCCGAGGGACTGCCCAGCAGAGCCTCCCACCCCCATCTCCCGACTTTGAGAGGGGTCCTCAGTCCTTCCATGAGAAGTCAAGCCCTGTGCTGAGTTCCGAGGCAGAAGAATCATGGTAGTTTAGGGTGTGGACACTCCCCTTCCAGGAAGGGGAAGGTGTAACTGCTTTTGGAAACCATATTCTGTCAAATCACCCAAGAGACCTGTGCCCAGCTAGGCTAGTAACCTGCAGCTGCCGTTGTTCCTACACCTCTAAGAAGGCACAAAAGAATGAAATTCACAGATAATTCAAGGGTCTGCTGCTTTTCAGCTTTTCCCATATATCTTTCAAAAGATATATGGGAAAAGCTGCCGGTCATACAATGAGCTAACCAACTCTGCAGTAAAGGGACTGATGGATTTGGGAGGTAGAGAAAACAAGCTGTGGAATTGGTTGCCCTTGCTGGTGGCAAATGAATGGTTAGCAAGTGTTCATTTCACTGAACTTGCTTAAAGAAGAGGCCAGGCGTGGTGGCTCATGCCTATGATCCCAGCACTTTGGGAAGCCGAGGTGAGAGGATTGCCTGAACTCACGGGTTCGAGACCAGCCTGTACAACTTGGAGAGACCTCATCTCTACTAAAAATAGATAAATAAATAAGCCGAGTGTGGTGGTGCATGCCTGTAGTTCCAGCTCCTTGGAAGGCGGAGGCAGAAGGATCGCTTGAGCCCAGCAGATCAAGGCTGCAGTATGTGTGAGTGTGCCACTGCACTCCAACCTGGGCAACAGAGTGAGACTCCGACTCAAAAAAAAAAAAAAAGAGAGAATGAAATATTTTCCAGGCTAAGATGTGGTGGGATCTCAGATGAGGGATTTTTTTTTTTTTTTTTTTGAGTTGGAGTCTCACTGTCGCCCAGAAGTGCAGTGGCCACTCCCGGCCACCGCAGCCTCAACCTGGCGATCCTTCTGCCTCAGCCTTCCAAGTAACTGGAACTACAGGTGCACGCTGCCACGACTGGCTAATTTTTTTGATTTATTGTAGAGATGAGGTCTCGCCTGCCCCTACGGGTCTCGAACCCGCAGGCTCAGGCAATCCACTCACCTCAGCCTCCCAAAGGCGGGGGATTACAGGCTGAGCCACCGAGCCCAGCTCAGACGAGGAATTTTTAAATTAGGGGCATAAGCTAGGCATGATATGGTGGTGCACACTTGTAATCCCTGCTACTCAGGAGGCAGAAGTGGGAGGATCGCTTGAACCCAGAAGTTCAAGGCTATAGTGTACTATGGTCACACCTGAAAGAGCCATTACACTCTAGCCTGGGCAACATAGCAAGACTCCATCTCAAAGAATAAGATAAAATAAAATTAGGAGAGTAAGTCGGAAGCCTAGTGGTTGCCTGGGGTTGGTAGAGCAGCAGACACCCAGCAGCTGAAGCCTCTGTTGTCACTCACCTTGTTAGGAGGGAAGTGACTAGGACATTCCTGACACATTCCCCAACTCCTACAGAGCCCCATCATGGAAGTTCTGGGAATGGCTCAAGGCCCTTCCTGCCCTGTCCTCCTCCATGAGGCGCTGCGATGAGCATTTGCCAGATGGTGACAGCAGGTGCTCTGGCCTGCCAGTGCTTTCTCCCCACGTGCGACGAAGCAGAAAGAGCTCCAGGAACGGTAACCTCTGAGGGGTCTGAGCACACCTGGCCAAGACTGCAGTGAGGCGGAAGGACCACTGGACAAAGCCGGTACAGGAAGTGCCTTTGTCTCCGGGGCTCCAGTCTCCCATCCCTGCCTAGTCAAAGCTTCTTTCACAGATAATCTGCCCTCTCCTCCGCAGCCCCCACTCCCTCTACACACCCCTTGCACAGGGTCTTCTTTCTAAACAGACCCCGGGAAACTGCTTCATAACCAGGTGGTTTCTAGGGGCTCTTCTGCCCTTAGACTGTGAAGGTCTTCAGCCCTGGCCAGCATCCAGCCTCGTTTTGGATCCCAGTGGAGAGCCCCTGTAGTGGCTCCATGCCATGGATCCCACAAAGCAAGTGTCACCCTCCTTAAGAAGCTTTGTGGCTGAGCTCGGTGCCTCAGCCTATAATCCCAGCACTTGGGAGGCTGAGGTGAGTGGATTGCCTGAGGCTGCCAGTTCGAGACGAGCCCGGGCAACTTGGTGAGACCTCATCTCTACAATAAAATAAAAAAATTAGTCAGGCATGATAGCGTGCACCTGTAGTTCTGGCTACTTGGAAGGCTGATGCGGAAGGATCACTGGATCCCAACTAGTCAACACTGGGGTGGCCGTGAGTGTGCCACTGCACTCCAGCCTGGGCGACAGAGTGAGACTCCAACTTCTAAAAAAAGAAGCTTTGGTAAGACTTGAGAGACTCCAGCCTGCTTGCCTTACTTGTTTGCTTATTTATTTGTGTCCTCATGTATTATTGGGAGGATGGATGATAAATCTGGCCTTGCCCGTTACATCACAAGAGTCTATGTCTGAAGCTGGAGCAAATTGCTGATGCAAGATTGGGGTGGACAGGTTGTTATGGGGGCCTCCCTGGAGGGATATCAGGTAGTTTAACCACATAATGCTTCTCTGGCTGTCATTGACATGTATGAGCCTTCTTGGAGTCCCTCTGTCCGAGGAGCCCAGGCATCCAGGTGTGGGGCATCCCATCTCCGAGGGTAATAAATAGGGGCTGGCTTGTGTACCCCCTGTCCTTGGAGTGTCTATCCCCAGGGAACAGTTTGCCCAACCAGTGGCCATGCCGTGGATAGAATTCCCAGGTGCAAGACAGACAGTGCCCCTCACTTTCCGTGAGACCTGTCCCTCATCTATCATGTACCTGCAGCAGTCACATGAGAGCATCCTCCAGGACTGAGTCAGTGCAGTCTGGCTCTGAGGTTGACCTGACCTTATTTAGCTGTGGCCATCACTGATTTAATTTCTTCTTCTTGCTCTGTCACCCTGGCTGGAATGCAGTGGTGTGTTCATAGCTCACTGCAGCCTCATATTCCTGGGCTCAAGTGATCCTTCCACTTCAGCCTCCCGAATGGCTGGGACTACAAACTTGCACCACCACACCTGGCCAACTTTTTTTTGGTAGCGATGGAGTCTTGCTGTGTTGCCCAGGCTGGTCTCTAACTCCTGGCCTCAAGTGATTCTATTTTGGCTTCCCAGAGTGCTGGGATTACAGGCCTTGATTTAATTCTTAAAATAGGAGATTTGAGGTGGGGTGGCAGTCCACCCACTCTTTATTTGGGGTCTTTACTGCTTTTGTATTTCTACCTCCTAGATGTGTCCTACGAGGCGGTTCTAAACATTCTGCCATCTAAATATATTTGGTTTCCATGGGGCCAACAGGGAGGCTGCTGTTACTTGGCGACCTCCTCCCTGGGCAGCAGACGAGAACCCTGATGGGCAAGCCGGTTTCTCCCATGTCCACGATCTGTGTCCTCTGTGGGCGAACAGGCACAGTGGTGAGCCCCACCGTGGGCAGACTGTTAAAGCAGGAATGTTCACAGCCCCGTGTCTGTCCACCACTCCTGATGTTGTTATAGCCGGGGTTTTCTTCTTGCTCTGTAAACATGGAAGTGACCCCACAGCCCCAGTACAGCCTGGGGGTCGGCAACAGAGTTAGAATCCAGACCGCCTGTCTGTGGGACTGGGCAGTGTGGCACCTCTCCTCAGTCGCCTGAACTGTCTTGTTTTCGTTTGGCCATTTATAATTTTTCACAGCTGCCTCTAAGTTCCCTGTTAGGGGCCAATCTGGAAGGATTTCTTGGTACTAGCCATAGTACTAGAAATTGTTCTGTGGCTGTGTGTAGATGAGAGACAAGACAGGGAGCGCCGGGCTGTGGCAGCTCAGAGCAGAGTGGGGCTCACCCGAATTAAAATGCTCTGAGCCGGTGTTTCTCGGCTTGCTGGATTGTGCCAACCACTTTTCCCCGAGGCCAAGGGGTCTGGTGCAGTCTTGTGACAGCCGATCTTCCCAGAGTGCTCTGGGCTCACCATGCTCCCAGCTTTGGGAGGGTCTGGGAGGAATTGAGCCTGCTCTTCCTAGCCCTGGGGCCTGAGCACACCCGTCCCAGAGTTCTTGGACTCCAGGGAAACCACGCCATTAACAAACTAAGTCATGAGCCCTTGCTTCGCTCTCAGCTGACCTTGCTTATTTCTCAATTTTTTTCTGATGATAACGTTTCCATCCTCTTGCTGTCAAGCACACTGGCCCACCCGCGTCTGGACGCCCATCTGCAGCAGCCCCTCCCCGGGGCAGGGGGACCATCTTGTCCTTCCTGTTCCAGGACTTGACTTCTTTACACCACCCCTGTT